TTCCATGTCGACAAGCTATTTTTCCTTTCAACCCTCGATTCGCAAGTAGGGGATCTTGTGACAGAGCCAGCAGCCTGGCAGCATATCACTTTTCTTTTCCCCTCCTCTGTCCCTTTGAGGAGGAGAGTGGTAACACGCTGTTTGAGCGTGTTGACACAATGCAAATAAATAGAGGAAGGGCGTCAAGCAGCTTCCAACCGGTGCTGTTATTGTAACCAGGTACTTAATGTGTGCGGGAGGGGGAGAGATCCAAGTGGGTAGCCGGATCTCTCTGAGTCTGAAGCGGCAGAACAAAGTTTGAGCCCAGTGACACCTTGAAGACCAACAAAGTTTCATTCTGGGTGTAAGCTTTCATGTGGATGCATGGTATCTGGAGAAGCGTGCATGCACACCAAAGTTTCTACCCAGAATAAAAGTGTGTTGGGAGGGAAAAAAGAAAGAGTTTGCATTGGAGAACCCGTTAGACTACACAGCGCTCAAACAAACAATCCGTTTGTTAAAATACAACCCCTGGGCTGCGGTCACACACGCTAAATAATCCGCTTTCAATCCACTTTCCAACTGGATTTTACTGTGTGAACTGGAGAAATCCAGTTGGAAAGTGCATCGAAAGAGGATTGAAAGTGGAGTATTTAGTGTGTGTGTGACCGCAGCCCTAGTGTACTTGGAAAGTCCAGAGCCCGGTCCTTGTTCTTAGATCTAGACTAGGGTTGCCAGTCTCCAGAATATTGGCTGGAGGTCCCCCAGAATTACAACAGGTAGAGAAAATGGCTGCTCGGAAGGTGGACTCAGTGGCATTGCACCCCGCTAAGGTCTCTCCCCTCCTTTCTCTAAACCCCGCCCTCCCTGGGCTCCACACGCAAAATCTCCAGGAATTTCCCCTCCCAGAGCTGGCACCCCCAATCCAGACTGGCTCTAGCTCAGATTTCTTCAGTAGATTCTTCTTCCAAATCCATGACCCACTCGCTTCTCCTGCCCGTGGGCTGTCTTCGGACACTAAGTGAGGAATTGCTGAATGGAAATAGGACGGGGCTGAAGGTTACAGCGCAGCTGTGTCAAGATCCGGCAGCTTTGGGGAGAGGTAAACTTGGAGGCAGAGATCAAAAGCCAGGAAAGGAAAGCGGCTGTGAGAAAGATACAAGAGGAGGAAGGAAACAGCGGAAGACGGGGAGAGAGTGTCCAACCAGCAAGTCCTCAGTTTCCCGCCTTCTCTCGGCAAGGGATTCTCTCCGTGTCTCGCATCTGCAAATTCAGCGCAGAGTTACTCTAGCCTAAGCCCATTGAAACCAGTGGCCTTAGACTGGATTTAATCCTACGTCGGACAGCACTGTTAAAAAACCCAGTTTTATTTATTTATTTTTATTCAGTTCATTTATATCCCACCTTTCTCCCCAATGGGGACTCGAAGCAGCTTCCATTCTTCTCCTTTCCACTGTTTTAGACTCACAAAAACCTTGTATGGTGAATTAGGCGGAGTGTAGGGGACTGGCCCAAGGTCGCCCAGCAAGCTTCCATGGCAGAATGGGGATTCGGACCCGGGTCTTTTGGATTGCTAGCTATGGGGGGCGGGAACATGCAGATCTGCCCTTGCAGAGGAGGGAGAGCTTGTACCTGAATAAACCTTGACCTTAAAGGTGCCACTGGACTGTTTTGGATTGCTAT